TAACAAGGACAGCAAATATTTTAATTTTCATGCTTACTAACTGCACTATCCGAACTAGAATAATAAAATGGATAATAAAATATTTATAAAACACGTATATTTGAAACAAGGAAACATTATCGGATTGAATTTTTTTAGATTCGTTCTATGTGTATTTTTTGATGAATATGTATCAAATATAAAAAAATCAATGATTGAACCAATCTACCAAACTAAATTAAGCTAAGTCACACGATGCAGTTTGTGTTAAAGAACGAAATATTTGCACTTTTCCTGACAAATGATTAATACTTTTAAGACTAAAGGGTATATATATATGACCATATGGAGAATATATATCAGTTGCCGCCAGTGTGCATGTGGGATGCTGACGTCAGAGGCTCCGCATGAGCGGCAGGCATGCAGCTTGTTTAATTAAATTTGCAAAGTATTTTTCTTGCAGTTAATTCTGTCAACAGCATTGCACTATGACGGCGACAATGAGAATCTGGACGAGAATGAGGATGAGGATGCTGGATAAGTTGCAGCAGCAACAGCCAGGACATGCCCATAAGCGCAGTTTCCGCTTGGTACCTGGCCGCCAGCGCCGGAAAGTAGGCTACACGGCAGTCAGTAGGTCACACAGGCCTGAGAGCAGCAGCAGCTGCTGCTGTCAATGAGTTCGCCCGCAGCCTGAGAAGTCAGCGGAACGGAACGCGGAACGCACAGACCCGCATCCGCAGCACTTGCAACACCCACGAGAACGCGAGGACTAGCCAAGCCTGTTGCCCTAGGCAGCGTTCTCTGCGCTGTTCGTTATGTTTTTTTTTAAATCCTTGAGTTTTCTTGGAATTTTTGTAATTTCGGCGCTGCTGTTAACCTTTTTACCATGACTTCATATTTATGCCAAAAAATGTTTATTAAATATTTTGTTTTATGCTAGCGAAAAGTTGTCTTGCCAACAACGTTCTAGACAACTTTATTAATTATTCTTTATCATATGAACGCGGGGCTTTAAATTTGACAAGTAATTGAAGGCACTCGAATATCCGTGGGACGCGAGATTAAATATTTTTGAAAATATATCTGTTTTTCCTGACGGAATGATTGATTGGCATTTTACTGAGTACCTTACGATATATGAGTAAAGTTTTAAGCTGGGGTTTTAAAAAGGTTGCTTGTATAAAATCAATCATTAATCAATAATTATGTGTTTGACCCTTTTTGTTAAATGCACCCCTTCTTCTACATGAACATTTTTTGGAGAAATTTGTTGCCTCCAAAAATTAATAATTACGTATTTTATCTAATTAAAAAAAGGTTGAAAAAGCTGATTTTATATTTAATGATTTAATGTATTTGCAATATAATAAAAAAAATAATAATAATAAAAATAATAATAATAATAATAATAATAATAATAATAATAACAATAATAATAATAATAATAATAATAATAATAATAATAATAATAATAATAATAATAATAATAATAATAATAATAATAATAATAATAATAATAATAATAATAATAATAATAATAATAAAAATAATAATAATAATAATAATAATAATAATAATAATAATAATAATAATAATAATAATAATAATAATAATAATACTAATAATAATAATAATAATAATAATAATATAATGCAACTCCACTTACCTAGTGTAAAACAACTAAGTTAGGTTAGGGATTTGTATTAAGTTATGTGAAGGCTAAGTACTGTTATGTTAGGTTAGCTAAAGTGAGGTTAATTGTGAGGTTATGACAGCTAAGAGTTGGTAAAGGCAAAGCTTTATGACGTTTGTGAGGTTAGGGAAGATTTGCTGATGTTAGATGAGGTGAGTTAAAGAGACCTTAAGATGAGTTGAAGTTAAAGGAGTATAAATGCGAGAATTAAGGTTTGCTCAAATAATGTTAGGTTAGATTATGTGAGTTTAGTTGAGAGTTTGTGAGGTTATGTGCGGTCAGTTAAAGAGACCTTAAGGTAAAGGTAGGTAGAGTTTAAGTCAATAAAGTCAATAAGGTTAAGTTACTGACAGTTTTAAGGAGCTTCTATGCGCTTGTAGAACAAAATGCCGGTAGACTATTTGGATTTGCTATCAAATAATGACAGCCATGGTAAATTAAAACGATACAAAATGTTCTTTTGCCAGCGTTGAGTTCTCGGAGTCTTAGTCAGACGCCCTAAGCAGTACCCTCAGCCGGGATATAATTATTAAGAACTATTAGTCCATATGTGTTTAGTGTCTGCTGCATTCTTAATGTGCTTTGTGCTTTGTGCTTTATTAAAATTGCTCCGTTTAAATGATGTTTGCAATGATGCGAACAATATAATTTTACTATTATTGCTAGTCATTTTGGAATTATCAGATTAAATATTCATATTGCGCATACGCCTCGTTGCACCAGAGACGACGCATTCGCAATTTTGATTACCAATTCCAAGCGACAGCAAATTCGTTTTCTTTTTTTTTTTTTTAAATTACACGCCACAACGAGCGCTGACTACCAAAGCAAATTACAGACACAGTTGAACTTTAGTTGCAGCACAAGTGAACCCCATTAGAGACATCCTACCCCTATCCAAATACACACACACACACACACACGAGCTACACGTCTGGGGTTTTTGTAGGGTCGTAAACCTCAGGACGTGCACAATTGTAGTTTATGCTTTAATTCCTGTTGGCCAACATTGGCGCCAAAGTTGTGTGCGTGTTTTATGGCCACGGCAGATCTGTGGCAACAGACTGAGCCTTAATTACATTGGACGTTTCAATCAGTCGCATTCCCAGACTCTATATATACTATATGACTGCAAAAGTGCAGCGGTGCCGTCAAGTGACTGGGCTGTTTGACTTGCAGCGGTTTGGGTCTCCTGGCATCCTTGAGATACACAGTCGTAACTCAATTACAGGATAACAGCGCAAAACGGATTTCGGAACGGCTTCGAATCGCGCACGTGTCACCCATAAAAAATTTGATAAATGCATAAGGACTTGTCTTCTACTACTTCTACTACTACTACTACTACACTCGTCTTGAGAGTCCTTTGCAGTTGGCACTCTTGACTATGTTGTGTTTATGTCTCGGTGCCGCATAAAAAGTGACAAAAGTTGACAACACCGAAAAGTTTTTTGTGTCTCCCACTGGGTCGAGCGAAATGAATGGTTTTAGGCAAGTCCCCAGCCAATCTAAGGACCCATAAATTAAACCTTTTTTTGCCCCCACCAGCCAAGGCAAGCACAAAACTACACAAAATGTATCAACGCATTAAAAACAAACTAACAACTAAGTTTTTTTTTTAGTTGTCAAACTAATAAAAAACATTTGGTAAACAATAAAAAGCGAAGTATATATACGCTTTCTTAACTTTAAAAACTTTCTCATCAAACCTCAGTTGATCCCGACTATAGTATTAAAAACAAGAAACAAACGTAGGAAACTCATAAAGTCAAAGGAATCGAACACCTAAAGCTACATTTATGACTGCACCATTATTAAAAGTAATTGAGAAACATTTGAGTATTAATAACTATTTAAAGTATATATGTTCAATGGGACAATAAACTTAATATATTGTATTTGAAGTTAACACATTAATACCTAGCTTGCACTCAACGATATTGATTATTACTTAGAATATTTCCGATATGATGACAATCATTTTTGATTCAATACTTAGTACGTGTAAAATTATATGGCTCGTTATGAAGTATTGGCAATAACTATCGATGCTGTAAACACAATCGATAAATATTAAGCAATTTATATTGCTTAGGTCAATTGTATTACTTATTATTTGCTATCGATAAGTATAAATTATTTGTCGTTTGATCTTGATTTCCCTTTGTTTTTATTGTTGTGTAGGTCGTATAATTTCATGTGAACAGAATATATAATAATTTTAAGGCAGACTCAGCTATTGACCTTTTCTTAAAATTACTTAAAATAATTCAAAGATAAATGTCAATATAAAGGTCAAGTGCCACTTTGCAAATTCAAATTAAATACAACTGCCCTGCTTTTATATCGTTTTATATTTTAATAAACGGTAAATAAATATTTCTACTATGAAAATCCAAAGCTTAGCGTTTCTTTACACTGAAAAATGCACAATTTATTTAAATATTTGTACGATGTGCGTTTAAATCAACACATAAATTAAATGGATATCGAAAAATAGTTAAATTTTCATTTTACTGTTAAGGGTTGTTTATTTGCATGTGAGTGTTAAATGTATTAAATTGTCAACATTCTTTATAGCAAAGCTATGTGTTAAAGTATTTGGATAATATAGTTAAATAATGCGTTTTTTTTTTAAAGCAATAAATTCTTTAATTAATTCATAATATTTGTCTTTTTATCTAAATGATATGAAAATAAGCAAACTCTATTTTTTGCTATGTTATTGGGAAACTCTAAAGCTTTATACATTGCGTAAACGTTATTATCAGTACGCTAAATAGGAAAAATTCAACAAATTAAAATGTGGTTTTACAACATAATTAATTGATTTAATGTTAAATCAAATGTCAAGAGATTCGCCCATGCCATGTTCAATGATGTGAAAAACTAAGCTCTCGAGGCATTGGCAAAACTATCTATATTTTTAATTCTAAATATTTAAAGCAAAAAAGTTCAGTTTCGCTCAAATTGATCCACTTTACCAAACACAATGAGCAGATGAATCATTGATATCCCTAAACCCCATTTCGAAACGTTCTTGGCGTATGTTATCTTTGTCGAAAACAATTGAAAGTTACATTTCTCGACTCCGGGTATAAAGGGCATCGCAAGCCCCATATACATTGAGACTGACATAGGGGGGACTATCTACCGTTGAGCTGATTTAGTTTATAGCTCCCTGGACAGCACACACAACGGGAAACCAAAAGAAAAGCGTATGAAGCACAGTTAGGCGCATTAAAGTTTGGCCGAAAAACAAAGACAGCCCACAAAATGAAGCAACAAAGTTGGCTAAACAGAAGCTAGAGATAAGACTGGTTACCTCGTCCAGTGGGAGATGCTTTAATCCTTTAAGCAAAACTTGGGGCTGGCAGTATATGAAATCCGTTTGCGTGAAGCACTCGTAAGTATTTCGTAAATAATTTGTTGGTCACACTTTACCACACACACACGCACACACACAAACGCTCGACAGACTGTCTTCCAGTAATCCCAGCCACTTTGGGACCTGCACGTGTTCCGCGCACTACGCACTCCGCGACACTCGCTGGCTTATTAACACTCTTCAACTATTGCCCACTCGGTGGCCATCGCCAATAATTGTGGCCAGCGCGAAACGTTCTTTTGCTGGGCCCTCAAGTGCCGAGTTGTTCCTGCCGCACGCACGTCTAAATACGAACTGAACGCTAAACGCAGCCTGCCAAAAGGACATGCCATCAACTATATTATCGCTGCTGGCGCTGGCTCAATCGCTGCTCTCGTCGCGACACTTCAACTGACTAACGGGATGCTGCAACTTCAGGTTTGCTGAAACAGCGAGAGAGAGAGAGCGCACGCGAGAGAGTGAAAGCTTCATCCTCCGAGAAGGTGTCTCTCTCTGTGTGTGTGGTGAATAAAGCTCAACTCTACACTGAGCAATTTTAAAAGTAAGTTAACATTAAATTGAGCATTCAAATGAAATACTAAAACGTATTATTAACTTCTTTTAAAGTTCTTCATTGATTATCGAAAATAGGAAAAGAAAATAAATTTAAAAAACCTGGAAATTATTTAGACAATCATCGGAACGTTTTTAAACAAAATTAAACGAATTGCCAATGTTCAGCTAAACTCACAATGGGATGCTCTTGAATCTAGTGTATCCTGATTTTTAAGACATGATACGAAACAATGGTGAGCGGAATTCATCAATTTTGTTGGGATATTTTGGAAAAATAAAGAACAATAAAATAGCTTCCTAATTAACCCAGATAACTTTGATTTAAAGAGCTGACGCTCTGGCATACGATGTCGCTTGATACAATGAGCCAAATATTTAGTGAGACATTTTGAAATATATTATAATAAGTTAATATATGGTTTGCAAATTTAGATACAAACTAAAGCAGGGGCAATCTCATGTTCTATTAAACACATTTTGATGTATTAAAATGCAAATTTTAAAAATTAACTTTTAAAAAAAGTGGAAAAATAATTCATATCATATGCCATTTATACCATTATTAACAAACTTATGGGCTTTTGGATTATTAAATAGTAATAATAGAAATAGTTAATAAGTTAAATTAAATAGTAAAGGAAATATTATTGATATGTTTTAATCAAATAATTAATAAATTAATTATGAGCATTTGAAATATTAAAATATGAATGATTCTAAACTTTAATTTAAATTTTGGTAAGACGCATACTGTAAAATTAAGACCTAATTACAGATTTGGTATAAAAAAAATCCCATTACATTACGCTTACGGCAAAGACAATTTAAAAAAAAAAACCCATCAGATTGTAGCAAAAGAATGGAATGAGTGTTGAAAAACATGTACAAATATGTAAATAAGGTAGTTCTGCAAACATAGTGAGCACTTTACATACAGCTGTAAAAGCAAACCAATCAAAAAGAACACCACAAAAAGTTACACATTGTGATATGCAGGCTGGTTTTATTCGCAATGCGACAACTTTTAATAAATGCGGACAGACGGAGTAGACATCACACGCAGCAGTGGCAGTAGAGGCAACACACGGTCTGACGACAAAATATGCGAATCCAATCAAATATGATGCTTGGGACGGAAGCGGCGGCGGTTTCTTACAGCGTTTTTAACATGCGGCCAATCAGCGTAGATAAACAGAGCTCTGTTAAGCATTAACATTGCTCGCCGGCCAATGTCAACAGTCGTGGTGGCAAAACAAGTGCATGTAATTAAAGCAACAGACCGGTAAAACGAAGCACCGGCGCTCTCTTGCTCGTTCGCTCTCTCGCCCAGCTGACGATCGTGGGCAAAACGAGCGTGTGTCGTAACTTGAACTGTTATCAGCAGCGACGGCGACGGCGACTGAGGCAGTCTGAGCGCTTGACGGTGGCAATAAAAAAAGGCTAAAACAATTTGAGTTTTAGCGCGTTTTGGAATCTTCAAAAACGCCTTTGTTGCATTCAAATTGAGTTAGTTGCGATTTTAACGGCGACTCGCGCGCATTCATCGCGGTCACACAAAGTTGGCAGTGAAGTACATTCAGCTCCATCCTTTGCTGTATGCCAGTCAGTGCTTGTCAAACTGTACAACCATAATTATAACGAAGAGCAGCTTATATAAAACCGTTCATTGCCATTGCTCTAATCTAGTGCAATAAAACTGTTGTCGTCTACGCTTAACGAATGTTACGAGATCTAATTGTTGTTATTATAATTATTTCCCTTTTGACGTGATAAGTAAAAGTTTTACAATTTCGGCTAGCCAACCGAGTCCAGAGAGCAAATGCATACTATATTTGTCTGTGACTCGTAAACGTTTTATACACCATGGACGCACTTAAAAGAACAAGTAAGCTAATCCGTAGATGAGTGTAGCAGACTTGCAGATGCCCTGCACAAAATTACAGATCAGTCTGTGTTATTCATCATATTGTCATTGGATTTTCGACATGCGTCACTAAAAATAGCATTTATGCTTTTATTATCTTATTGTTATTATAAAAAAAAAGACTAAAGCGAAATTAACCTGAATATCAAAAGAACAGCTGTAGTTGTATTTCACGTTTAGAGACAATAGATAAAAATAATTCATTTCATCATTCAGTGAGGTTATTTCATGAGTTCCACTTAAAAATCAGATTTAAATACAATCACTTTTAAAGAATAAAGGAACTTTTTAGCTTTCCAAAATTCATTAAGTGTTAAATAATTAAAATATGTTAAAATTTCATATCGAATTTCCCCTATGTTGGATTCAAAGCATAAATAAAACATTAAATGTATAAAGAACAAAAGCATCAATAAAATATGAAATAAATAAATATAAATATTATTTAAATTCGACTCGTTATGATATTAACATCTCCAAATCTCCAGATAATATTATTTAAATATGCATATAAACTATATGAAACTACAATAAGCTGTTTATTTTGTGGATCATCAAATTGGTAAAGTTTTTTATTCTTTATAAAACAAACCTAAGTTGGATTTTCAAACGGAAAAATTTCAAAAGAACATTCGACTTATTTATATAAATCACGGGTTAATAGCTTCGAATAATTTTTTGATAAAGCATTCAATAACCAAATTTCAATTTGAATAAACATAAAAGAATCCAGATACGCCAAAAACTGGTAACAAATTATTAAGCTGCCTCGAGGTCGGCACGTAACTTGGCTTACAATTAATTACCAGTAGTCGAGGCCTTCAACATAATGTTAAAGTTGGAGTTATTTTTTGTATTTTTGTTTTGCTCTTGAATTTCCATTGATTACCGCTAACAATCACAAAGAGTCTAAAGAGGTGTTCCTCTTCATTCTTCATGTTGAATGTGGCTAAAAACCGGATTTGCGGCACGGTGTTTCCCTCAACATGGACCAAATGAACCAGCTCTTAATTGGGCAATGAAAGACACGGATTTCCCAAGAATAAACAAGCGGAACTTCAAGTTATAACGTCACAAGTATGCTAAATAAAGGTCGACCAGCGAATACCCTGCAATCAGTCTAAATCTGTTTGTTATAATATGAATATTACATTTTTTAAATTCATTCTTATTGAATACCCTGCAATCAGTCTAAATCTGTTTTCTATAATGTGAATATAATATGAATATAATAGGGTATTCTATAAGAATGAATTGAAAAAATGTAATATTCATATTATAACAAACATAAATCCCTGCAATCAGTCCAGCTCTGTTTGTTATAATATTCATTTTATTATATTCATATTATTATATCATATTATAATATTCATATTATAGCAAACAGAACTGGACTGATTGCAGGGTATTATGTTTGTTATAACATGAATATTACATTTTTTATATTATAACATATTATAACAAAAAGATTAGACTGATTATAACAAACAGAACTAGACTGATTGCAGGGTATTCTATAAAAATGAGTTTAAATAATTTAAGACAATTCAATTGCCATAATTCTTGGATGCGAACACTTTATTGTTTTAAGGCTTAGGGTAGAAGAGAGCCCACTCGACTACTCAATTAGTTGTAATTTATTCTCCGAAGTTCGTCCTCAGTTTATATATTTAAATATTAATACTTCACAGAGACCTTTCCTTTTTAATAATTAATATGCAAGTCATCATTAAAGAGTTTCTTAGGGTATAGAATGCGTGCGCTTGGGGATTTCCCGTCAATCTACCCGGACTAAGCAACCCGTTCCTAAAAATAGCCAACCTCAACATGCATTCACACACATGAATATAAATATATAAATCGCATTTTACACATCGTTAAGCAGCTTAAAATCTTCCACTCTTCGCCCCAGTCCGAGCTCTGTGTATCGTATTTATTTCTCAACCTAGCTCAACAAAACTCGCAGCAGGCCAATAAAAAATGCGGCCAACTGACGGATCTGAATAATTGAAATGCCGCATTGTACAAATTAACGGAGCAAAAATAGACACAAAAAAATACAAAAATAAACAAATCATCAATAAATCAAAATTAAACCTGCACTGAACACAATACGCACATAATTACACATAAACAAATACATATAAATGTAAAATTTAAAGATGCTGACAAATTGTGTTATGCAAGTTTGTTCGACTTAATATATGATCCGGGAAATGAGGTAGCTTCAAAGCTCTACAATTTGCATAACTTTTGTCATCATACCAAGAAGCAATTGGTTTTGCCGAAGCTTAGATACTCTTACATCAGCTCATTGTGCGTGTTATTTGATTATTTTGACTTGGAGACAACCAACTTGCACTGATATCCGAATTCGAGACCCTGACTAATTTATGTTGTTGGTTACCTCACAAAGGCCCAAAGAAAATGTTATAAATATTTCCCTATGTTTGACTGTTTATTTCTTTAACAACAGGATATATGATATAGGAATCAAGGCTGCAAAAAGCTTCAAACCAGGAATTCCAATTTATTTTCCGCAAACTGAACAATTTAAAAAAAAAATTAACAACTTAAAAAAAAACTGATTCCTTTTAAAATGTTTGATTGAAAAACAAGCAATAAATATGAGTATAAAAAATTATATTTATATTGTCTCATCCTAAGGTCAATATTATTCATATAACTTTTGGATTAGGTTTGGGTCCCCTCAAAATAAATTGTTGTTTG